CCCTAATAAAGTGAAAATTGTGATGTTTTTACATTAGTGACCTGAGTTGGGCTAGGGTTTCCAGCCCCTGTCATGTGAGTTCATTCCCTTAGGGTCTTTCTCCTTAAGAGTTTCTCTCTGCTCCTTTACCCTTCTTTCTCTTTGCTTCCCTCATTTTTTTTCTCCCTTTGTCGAACAAATCAATCAAAATGTATAAAAAATTATAATCCCTAGTTTCCCTTCCCGGTCTTTGCTTCCCCAAATTTTCTCCTTTTGCTGATCAAATCAATTAATAATAATAATAAAAAAACTATCCCTTAGTGACTGGTTTTGGAGCACAAGGCTTCTCAGAGGCACGCACGTGCTTGTTAGAGATAGGTCAAGGGTGGCGGCTAAGTTATGGGTAACGTCGAAGGTAGTGCTTGTGTTGTGCTCAACTTTGATCCAAGGTGGTTAGTAGCATAGAATGGTGGTGGTGAAGGTTAGCTATTGCAACTCTATTCGAAGAGGAAGTGTGGCGTCTACAATTAATTTTGCCAAGGAACTCTATGGAAAAAATCGAAAAAGGGTTGACAGAAAGAGGATCTTCTAAAACGACTTTGTCTTTGATGATTTTTGTGTTGTTTGTGAGTTTGTGGTACATGGGTTCTTTGGTTCTTGAATAGGTGTTATTTGTGGCACTTATATCTGTCTGCTAGAGATTAATGGGGTGTTAAAGAGAATTAGAAGGCTGTTGGATGAAGACTTTTGTCTTGCAGGTAATGGATAAAGTCATAAAGACTGTCACTTTTGACATTATATTTCATTTCATCAATGCAAATGAAGAAATAAGGAAAGGAAAAATCCAGAAAATCTACAGCCAATATCATCTTCCCAACTCTATATAGAAACAGAGCTCGGATCAAGATCCATGAAAGGGAAGCATCAATCAATATCTCTCTACACGGAGCTAGCTAATAACCTGTATGTAGACCGGCTATATATAGGATGGGAAATCAAAAGATAACGGAAGTTTGAGGAGATCGGCGATCAGAGAGTGGAAGGTGAGCCTGAGCCTGGGTGAGTTGATCCATGAGGGTGATGATGCGGGCGTTGTAATCGCGGGCCTGATGTACGGACTCCGCCTCCAGCTCACCTAGCTGCGAGCAGAGCCTCTCCTCCGCCTCCTCGGCCACTCTCAGCCTCTCCCACGCCTTCTGCAGTTCTTTCATCATTATCTCCTCCCTCTCTCTGCTCTCCTTTAGCTTCCGCTCCAGCTCCTCGTTTCTCTTCCTCAACTCTTCGTCTTCCTTGGCTTTCCTCGCGGTCACCGATCTCTGATCAGCTATGGCCAACGACGAAGCCATTGAAACGTCGTTTGGAGTATATGAATTCTGTGGACACACTCTGCGTTTGCTAGGTTGCTCCTGGATGCTCATAGCAATTGGGGGAAGTGTGACCATACTTATACCCGTGGATTCAAAATGTCCAGATTCAATGTATCTGGTTTTGCACCTAGTCAAGGGAG